AGGGAAAGGAAATTGGCTTAGAAGGGCGAGGGGATGAATCATACTTTGGTTTTTTGGTTTCTAGGGTAGGTGGTGCAAGGTACCGCCCATTATACAGAGCACAGCTGTTAGCAAAAACACTGCTCCTCAACGGCCATTGCTACAGTCGCCCCTGAAGAAGAGGCCAAGTGGGCCTCGAAATGTCGGGTCCCTAATTAGGGCTTGGCTGGACGATCAAGCCCTAATTGGCAGAGCCAACCACAGAACAAACTTTCCCCACCTCTACATAAAAAAAAAGAAAAGAAATTGGGCCATGAACTTATGCTAGAAACCAAGCCGTCAGGTGCCACGGGTTATGCGACACTACTTGACGGATGATAGAGTCAATCCGAGCACTCCAAATTAAATTTGGAGGTTCTACGTGCCAAACCAACAAAGCGCGTATAGCAAGCCCTTGCGGAGAACTGAGGACTATTTTCGACCATCCGGTAAGCTTTTGACGTGCAACCAAAAGCATGGTTGAATGGCACCTTTTCCTCGATAAGCCTCCATCAGACTGTGGGCACCTCGGCCGGGATTTAAACCCGCCACCCCATCTAGGGATCCGTTGGCCAACGTCCAAGCCATAGGCGTAGACTACAGGGGGGCATCGGGGCTCGAGCCCCGCCCTGGTGAGATTTGGGGGTGGGGGGGGGGGGGGGGTGTAACCCCCCTCGTCCCTCCAGAACCTCATACCCCCTAAAATAAACTACTGATGATGGCTGGTGTAAAAAGATGCGTGGAAAAGCACCCCCCCCCCCCCCCCCCCCCCCTTCTCAGCCTGCCCCCCTCAGGGAAAATTGAAAGTCTATGCCGCTGGTCCAAGCACTCCACCAATAATTTTTACGTGGTTAAAATGCCGTAAAAACTGGAATATAGGTCGACCCCCTAATTTACAAGTTGCAAAAAGCAAAAAAAGTTTTTATGGCAAAAAAACGTAACCTTACTTTGGTACCAAAATTGGTCAAATATACGGAAGGACGAGAAAGCACGGAACATTTATTTAATTGTTTCGTACACAATAAAACAGGAAGTGCACGAGCGTTCCTACTCAGATTCTTCAGAACCTTCGTCCGACGATGAGTTCACTAACGCAATTCAAAGGGACGATGCCGTCCCTTTGAATTGCGCCCTCCAGGGCTTGGAGGCACGAGCGACCTCGATGGCTCTCGTACGGATGCACTCCGACGTCACAGCTAGCGATCTGGCGCGCACATCCTGAATAAAATTTGCCACCTTTCTTTCCAATTCGGGGTACATCGCAGTCCTTACACGAAATGAAGTTTTCTTCGCCTGGCTACACAATGCCAGTTTTTGTCTCTGGCCTCGCCAGTAGTGCATGCTTTTCTTCGATACACCAAACTCTCGCTGCGCTGCAACATTCCCGTGGCTTTCTGCATAGGCGATTGCCTTCTTCTTGAAGGCTACCGTGAACAGTCTTCTTCCGCTCACTATCACTCCGGGAGCGGCAACGGTAGATGCAACGAACCAAGGAGCACAAGTGAAAGTGAATCGTGACCAGTGGACGAGTGCTAGGCGATTGCAAAGAAAAACACGACGGCTGCTTCAGCCACCCAGTGTTGCGAGATTATTTTTGTTTTTCCGCTAATGACCGTTATATAAGACGAGGGTCAACCTTTTCAGGTCCACTTTTTAAAATTAATTCAACCTATATTCCGGTTAATACGGTAATGTTGGACAGAATTCAGCTTACAGAGCTGCAAAGAGAAAATCTGGTTATTCCAAAATTCTTTTTTAATGTGCTTAAAAAAAAAAAGTTGACAAAAGGCAGCTGTCAGAAGTTACAACATAGCTAGGTAATACAGGCACATCAACATGCTTTCTTACTCAATTTGTAATACAATTTCTGATGTATGTTAGGTTTCAAAGGTTACTACAGTGCAATCTACTTTTAACAATACCACGAATAACTGGGTACAGCTTATAACGGTCAGTTCATAGTGGAACATGCGTTTGTGCAAGGGGTACCCAGTCCAAATAGAATAATCGGTTAAAACGGTTGCATTTTCTGGTCACCTCATTATCGTTATAGACCGACACGCGGAGCGGCTCTGTTTACCAACACGGCTGGGAGGCCGCGCATGCGCGGTAGCTATGTGGGCAAAAGCAGCCCGGCTGTCCGTGTTTTCGCCATTGCGCTCTGTGGCGTGCGCTCGTTGTTGACGTTGTAGGGACGCTTATATCTTTATTTGTGCGTCGTATTTCCTCATAACGTATGTCGTATGCTATGCCCGACTATTTGAGCTCGTTGCCCGAGCCTGAACGGTAGCGGTATCGAAACAAACTGTGCGTGGACGGCGTTGCCTACGAGGATCCGTACGCCGTAAACAAGGCCTGCTGGACTTCCGACATAAAGTTGCTGCCACGGAAGTCAACGGCTCAGGTCGTCGTTTATTTAGTTTTTTCGCCAAGCCAGTTCACGGCCGACACGGTGCAGGCGTACAAGTCTCTCGAGGTCTACGATTACATCGAGTCGGTTTCCGCACTACCGGCGGGATCAGCAGACTGTGGGTCTGCGGAAGTGTGTGTATTCATTAATTGACTAAATACACAGAGCGTCTTCAAGTCAAGGTATGATATTTTTCATACCCTCATGACCAGAAGGCATTGCAACCAGTAAAGGTTTGTCCGTTTTGCAGTCTTGGCAGTAACAGGTTACAAGTAACGGCGTTACCAGGAACGCGTTACTTTTTTCAGTAACGTAGTAATTTAATCGTTACGTTTTTGGCACAATAACGGGTAACGTACTTATGTTACTATTTCAAGTAACGTAGTTACGTTAGTCGTTACTACTTCCCAAGTCTTAAAGAAATTACACTTCAATTGTTTCCGTGTTTTAGGCGTCAAGCCATGTTTTTCTTTGCGTTTTTTCTCGTAAGTATTTAGGTGAAACCGTGAAAAGAGCTAAAGTAATTATGTTCAGTTTCTGCATGAACATAATGTTTTTTTATATATGACCTGTATCGTCAAAACCGTAAAATGTGTTACATCATAATTTAAAAAAGTAACGCAGAAGTAACGTGCCTTACTTTTTATCGCTAGCGGCAACGCGTCCTTTTATTTTTAGATAACGTAGCTCAGTAACGCGTGCCTTTTATTTGCAAGTAACGAGTAACGTATTTCGTTACTTTTTTTTTTGGTAACGCCTACAACACTGCCGTTCTGTCGTCGAACCCCTTCTGCTTGGTAGCACGGGCGTAGCGAGCCTCCGACGAGCGCTTGGGGGGTGCCCGGGTGCGTTGTGCGCGAACATCGTGGAAACAAAATCCGGGTGGTCTCGATCAGACAACGGTTTCCCTGCACATAGGCAAGCCTCGGGACGGAGATTGAAATGGAAGCCGCACTTGCCTCCAAGAAAGTGTTTGCCGCACAAACGGTCGTTCGCGCGAGGCGACCATTCTTTTCGATCCACGGATATTATCCACCTTCTATGCGTTTCAGAGTCTGCCGGGAACTTGTGGAAACTCACTCCGCTGCTTTTCTTGCACATTTCGGTGCAATTAACGGCAACACATCTTCAGGGCATGCTGAAATGCTATGACGCCCATGCGAAACGTGCGCGCTTTTGCCCACACCCCCCGGCTCCGGCGCGATCGCAGCGCCGCCGCAGCTCCGTGACGTCAAGCCCGCGTGTCGGTGTATAAGTGGATTGCACTGTATGCGATCAGTGCAGGTACTACACCACCACTCTTCTTTATGTGGTTCAAAATATTTCTCGTAGAATCAAGCTCTAGGTGGCTGCTACAGAGTTGAATGAAGCACTCCCAACATTTTTTTCTAAGACCCATAGAAACATTTCTGAGAGAACCGAGATTTCAGAAGTCGGAAGAGCCGTGTAAGACCACTATGTTGGCAAGGAGTTAGAAAGAAGGTTGCCAGTCGATGCGTGTCTGAAGGGCCGTCCACAACACAGCAGACGCAGCACTTTTTAAATTCATGACCCGTGCCGTACTGCGGTCTGCTCTTGTCCGGCACGCCGGAGGGAAAAGATTTTCTCTGCTCGCGTCCTCAAGCAGAGACTTGGAGCACATTCATCAATGGGTCCGGACAGATACTTGCACGCCCCGCTGGCCGTCGTCAAGGCCTCTGCTGTCGTCGTCAGTCCCCTAATCTCTCGAAAACAAGAAAGGGGAAGAGACGACAGCGAGGAGACGAGGAGGAAAGCTGCACTGTTTCATGGCTACAGTGCAAGGTAAATTTAAAGGTTTACGTGCCAAAACAACGAAGGGCATCTGGCACGCCCCAGAGGAGGACCGAAGGTTAATTTAGACCACCTGGGGATCTTTTGACGTGCAACCGAAAGCTCGGTCATACGGCGCATTTTCAGGAATAGGCCTCCATCGATTAGCGGGCACTCGGCCGGAAACGTAACTACGGTGCCTGGGACGGGTCTCCGTCTGGCACGTTTAACGTCCCATTCCACCCACGCGTCGAAAGCGGTCCCAAAGCAGCAACAAACGTCGTCGCAAAAATCGGAGCGTCGGGCCGTTGGGGGGCGCGACCCTGATAGTTAGTCGTAGAAATTCTGGAACAAAGCACAAGCAAAAGAGAGCGTCGCCGTGGTCGCGGCTTCCAAACTCTTGGTTGCCGAAACTTTGGTGGGACGTCGGGCCGAAGACCGACCCGCAGTAGAACGGGTGTATGCCACGTTTGTTACCACTGCCTCGACACTACCAGGATCGTGGCCGGTGACGGCGTGACCGTTCTTTGACGTCGTGGGGCAGAAATCAAGGGACCGCTTTTTGGGACGCAGTAAACAAACCAGTTGGAGACGCGTCCCAGGACTACACCAACATTCAACGGATGCGCGCGCTGCAACGTTCGCGTCTCTTGAGAGAAGCGCGTGACTTCTGCCGTGTCCCGTTTGGACGGCCCTCGACTCTTTGGGGACGGGCAACGGAAGAGTTTGCGCTCCTCCTCGTTGGGCGGCCGTGCGGAAGAAAAAAGGGACGGGGGTTTACCTGTCCTTGGGGTTCCCGGGGGGGCTGCTGCCCCCGAGCAGGAGCGAGGACTTCTCCGTCGGCGCGCCCTCGGCCGTCTCCAGGGTGGTGGCCTTGTTGGCGAACAGTGTCGACAGGTCCTGCACCCCGCGCCGGCTCACGTCCACCACCTGGGGGCATGGAGAGGGCCTCGGTTACGGAGAGGGAGCGACTTGCGAGTCGAAGGGGCGTGCAACGATTTCCGAACATTGGCCAATTCATTTCGGGGAAGTTGTCTATGACGCCTACAAATTAAAAAACAGAAAACCCTTTTTCTCTCGTGTGCGCTAGTCCCTAAAGCATAGACTGCTTTTTTACGGACGCAATCCAAATTCTAAAATTTTGTCTGTCCATCCGTAGATTTCCCGCTAAAGTTTGCAGGGGAAAATGACATCACGTGACTTATGCAACGAGTCGGTTTCTCTGCCTAGGTCTGTGGGAAAATTGACGTCGCGTGACAGGACCTCACGGGTGCATTCACAAATTCAGTTCCCTTCTAAATATGGCAGGGAACTTGATTTCATGTGACGTATGCACACTCTCTTAGCGACCATCAATTTTTCAAGGTCAGGCTCGGCTACAATAGAGCACCGCTCCTGCTCAGCATCGTCCAAGATCGTGACGAGCGATTGAGACAAGAGGCGGTTCACCACAGGAAAGGTGGGGAGGGTAGCGACAAAAAGGAAATGGTTTTGTTGACTTTCTATAGATGGCACCATTAAACCTTACATGCTTTGAACGACTTCTCACAAAAATTCCAATGACCACCACGTGCGACTGCAGATCGGGGATATATATGTTTCCTCCTTCGCGCGGCAGAATTGCGTCATTTCGGGGGAACGTGGGGCGTTTTCTCTCAGTGGTTTTGAGATAAACAATATAAAAAATATGAAATGCAAATTCTTTTGATGTTAAGATCGTTGCACAGACCCTTTAATAATAATGAACGTGTCCTGCACAGATTGGGGGCTCCTGCAGATGTGCGAGTTGCTGCGAAGCGAGGAGAATATCGGGTGGAAACGCTAGGAGAAGCTGGACGTCTCTGCCACAGCCTCGCTCCTTGTGTTGCAGGCGGATGTAAGGTGCTCATATCCAGTTCCCCAAAATGAACTCGATTATCGTCGCGAAATATCCGCGACCATATGGACATCCTGGTCCCCGGAATTATGCCCACGAGCTTTGCGAATAAGAGGCTGAAACCACCGGTCTGCTGTCTCTCCTTAAAAACCACACCGCAACGAGGAAGTTTAGAGCTCGGCGACGATGCGTATAAGCGTACTCGTTTTTCGTGACCCTTTTCGTGACATATGCCTTTGAGTTAGCATTACGCAGATTATTACTCCATTCATTGGACAATTTGTGCAATTAACTTTACGAGAACAAAATTGCCCTTTAGAACGTGTCCAAGCACGTTTACGAAACGTGTTTTAGGCAGTCGGAATGCGAGATATGTGCACGTGACGTGGGTCATGGCAAACAAGGCTGAAGGCTTTTCAAAAGCAAAGGTAATAGTCACGAAGGCAATATTTATTTGGTCGCGTAAATCCACGATGCTCCAGAAAGGTGGGTAGCCCAAGCTCAGGGGTTCGGGTCGCCGCCCTTAACGTAGATGATAATGCGACGGGTACGATACGGATGCATAGACGGCGGCTCTCGGGGGTCGTGTTGTCATGCCGCTCGGAGGGGAGAGTGCTTTAAAGTTGCAAAGCAAAACAAAGTCGAGAAACTACCGACACAACCAAAACAAAAAGACGGAGATGAAACGAAGGAAGAGGCGTGCAGGGGGGCACTCACCTTGGATCCGATGGTCGTCACCTGGCTCTGGAGATCGCCGATGAGGGTGCCGTCCTTGACCTAGCGTCACAGCCACCGACATGCACACAACACCGGAAGGGTCAATGGGCAGGCACTCGAGATGCAATGCACCGAGTAACAATTCTTGAGAACAAAACAAAGGCAAGCGATGCATTCTTTGGGTGCAGCGGTTGCGTTGTCCCGTGCCAACGGGTCTCACCTTGTCGTTGACGGTGCCCGAGATCTCGGCCACCTTCAAGGCCGCTATGCTGCCGATCTTCACCGCCTGCAAACGTGTGCGAGCGCACGTCATGGAAGGTGAGAGAGGGATTTGCGCAGTTCGCTCGTTTGTTAAAAAGGGGGGGGTCGGTAAGGTGAGCACACTCACGTTTTCAGATGCCTTGGAAGCGATCTTTGTTGCGCCGGATGCAAAGGTGGCAAAGCCCTGCAGTTTACATTGTGAGTGTCATGGATCTATCTCTATTAAGCCCCGTTCACACAGCTGCGTTCGCTTACAATGTCTTACGTTCCGTTATGACTCACCGGTACATTCATGCTTCAAATGCTATTCCTCGAATATGTTGCCATACTTAATACGTGGCATGGATGTCCCTTTGATCTTCAATGTAAGCAGACATATGATCCCGTAACATAATGCGAAGTAAAAAAAAAAGGGTATTGCGTGAACTGGCCATTAGACGGAATGCCGTACATACAAAAAAAGTGGGGCATAACAAACCTCTTTCCCACTGTTTCGACTCTTACCCGAAGTAGAAAACGACAGAGCTGGACACCACAGCTGCCAAAACCGTAATGATCAGAAGCTACAGACAAATGAACTTCGGCCATAATGCCTTCACCGTTTGTTCTACCATCTACCTATTTTTTGGCACGAAGTTAACTAAAACTAAATATGCAGCCAGTAACGGAGGAGGAAAGCAAAAAGGTAGTGGCAGCTTAATTTTCCAATCTGGTTCTTCGTAAATATAGAACGAATAAAAGAAAAGATTGGCAGACACACCACACCAGTCAACACCTCTCTTTCTCGTTGCGTTTTCTAATGACAGTGTTCTTGCAATCATATATGACGAGGGAACAGACTGGCATGCTGGCACCACGCATGAGGTGACCCTGGAACTGCATTTCACTAAAGTGAAGGTTCTGCGGAATTCGCGGGACCAAACGTACGTACTGTCCACGAGACATGATTGTTTATATATCAAAACCTTTTCCAGCTAAGAAAGGAAGAGTAATGCACAAACAAAATAGGAAATGTATGGAAACTGCAAGTGCTCTGCGGCTCCCTGATAGATGGCGCCAGTGTGTTCTCTCGTCACAAGAGATTGTGAGAGGCTTCAAGACGCACAATCTTAAGCAGTCATGCGTGCAAACCAGCCTTAAAAGTGGTTTTGGCTAAACCCCACAGTGAAGTTGCGGCCGGAGGGCCCACTCACAGAACTGAAGGACGACCATGCTCCGTCAAAGAACTCGGATGACTGGCTGCGGGGAGGCTGGGACACGCTGTTGCCGAAGCCGCTGTAGCGCCCGCCCTGACTCGGTGGGAGGTCCCTGCATGCACAGAAGCGGATCAGACCTAAGCCGCATTGCCTGCGCCGTATGTCGTCTGCACCGTATGTCCTTCTCTGCCGTATGTCGTCTGCGCCGTATGTGTTCTGCGCCGTATGTCGTCCGCGCCGTATGTGCTCTGCGCCGAATGGCGTCTCCTAGTTTCCCGGAATGCAAACGGATAGCGTGAGGAGTAATAGTAATAGAGTAATCTTTATTTTAGCTCAGGACAGCAGTATTACCACAGAAAGGCAAGCAGCCCGTATCGTCAAGGCATGTGGCACTGTCACTAATGATGCAATGACATCGTACAGACGAAAGAAAAGCGGCGATGACGGTTAAAATGGAGCTTGTAGGCGAGACTGCGGAGGATGACATTGGGCGACGACATCCCACTAGAAGAGAGCAGAATTTCAAAAGTGGGACACCGATGAAAGCAAAGCACAACTGTTTTTTTGCTCGGTCTGTGTTACAAGTCGTTGCGCTCCAACAAAAACAAACAATGCTGCAGTAACAAATACTACTGTGAGAAACAGCACAATTTGCTGCCTTGGCACAAAAATGGCAGCATGCAGTCGAGAGACAGAAAGGCAAGGAGAGGAGAAAATGCCACCAGCCAATCACAGTGGTGCTGGAACGCACGTGGCACTGTGACTGGCCGATGTCTTTGCACAAACGTGATGGCACACAACCAAGAAAGAGAGACAGAGGGCAAATTGCACTACTTTTTCGTATACTGAAAATAACCGAATAAGCAAAAAATACTGCTAGGCAATTGCGTTGCATACATGAAACGTTCTGGCATCAAAAACATTCAGCGATACCTTGAGTTCCCAGATGTCAGATGCCTACGTTCATGGCGCTCTTCATCAGATAGTTTAACGCATACCACGCGTACACTTGATAGCTGCTCTTAAAATGAAGCGATACTTGCGCTAATTGAGCTGACAAACCTGGCTATCTTCAAGAGCCTAACCCGTGATCCAATCAGTGTCGAGACTTGCGGCCATGCTTTTATCCGGGCTTCACTAAATGCTGAACGCCTATCCAAAAAATGCTTCACATTAATTAGCTACAAGCAGCCACTGCCGGAGAAGGAAAAGAGAGGAACACCACTCACTCTCTGCGCGATGCATTCTCGGCCTGCACCCGGTTGAAGAAGTCGTCCCTCTGCGAGGCCACCTGATCCATGTTCATGCCATAGCTGCGACAAAAGAGCAGACAGCTGCACAACTGGCCAGAGCACCCGAAGTTCCTACCATAAAGTATTGAGTAGGCAACCCCCCAAAAGGTGGAGATTATCACAAAAATATGGGGGCGGGTGCTTGTTCGGTTCGAAAGCAGAAAGGGAACATCAAGCTTCACCACTTTGCACCAGCGCACGTGTGTAAAGCTTAACCACTTTGCACTGACCTCTCTGAGAAGCAGAGAGAGTTCGGTTAGCTCGGAAGTTTGCAGGGTTGGGCACTTGATATATCCTTTGCCTATGTTTCAACAAGTTTCATAAAGTATGGGGTGGGCCTTCGTTGGCCATGTGATCGGTATCTTACGGTTTACTCCGCGTTGGCATTTTTGTCTCGTGTCGTCGAGGCCAGTGTAGTTTCCGCAGTGCCGTAGTCCCACACTGCGGCACAAGCGCGCGACTTTATTTTGGGTCTCGTTTGCATGCACCACCGCATGAAGGAGACGCCCACACAGAGCCACGTATTTGTGCAATCGGCTCCGACGGCATTGGAACGCCGCGGAAGTTATTCTAGCCTCGACAGCATAGCATAAAAATATTGACGCAGAGCACCGAGAGTTACATTGTGGCTGCTGGGGAAGAAGAGCAGCTCTCAAAGCCTGGCCACCCCAGGTCTGTCTATGGGCCATTACAAGGAGGAATGTCCCATGCCCTAAATATATGTTTCACATCTCGGTAGGTGCAATTTCCAGTGACCAGAACCGGTTTTAAATACGGAACGCACCAAAAGCATACGTGCAAAAGGGCATGCAAAAAGGAACCAATAAAACAGAAAACCTTTTTCTTGTATAATTTTTTTTTTTTTCGAAAGACGCTGTTAAGGCTGACGTGGCACTGGTCCCTTACAGTTCAATATACAAAGCAGTGTTCCGCCAAAACGCCATGACAAAAAAAAGAAAAAAAGTGTTAAGAAAAATGTTTAGAAACTAGACAATATTACGAAGTACATAACAAGGTACGACTTATAATATATGCATGTAAAAGGCAGGAATCAGCATAGAAAATTAAATATAACAGACTGCAAAACAAATAATAATAACAAATAGTTGTATACAATGTAAAATAAGTTAGGTCTACTGAAATTGTATATCGCTGGTTATAAAAAAAACTAAAATTATAAGGTTACCACCATCTGCTCCTGCAAGAAGAAAAAGCCTTATAGGTTAGGGGTTGCTATTAACTTAAAAAAAAAAATAATTTCAACCCTTCCTTGTTTTGTTTTTTTTTGTTTTTTTTTATCTGGTTGTCTCGAACTTGACTTTCCAATTGTTTGTTCTAATTCTTGTTTGCTTGCATTTGGGCTTAACCCAAATGCAAGCAATAGGTTTGATGAAAAAAATGAAAGACGTTTACCACACCCTGTAATGCCGAATTAGTGTGCTGCTCTTGAGGAGGAGGAGGAGGAGGGGAGGGTACTGAGGGGAGGGTATGCTCTTCCTCCTCATCCCATACCCTCTCCTCCTCACTCCTCCCGTGCTCCTCGCCTCTGCCTCCTCCTCGTCCTCCTCCTCCCTCCCACGCGGTGCATTATAGGAAACGTCCCATAACGCAAAGCGTTCATCACCACGATGCATTATGGGACGTTTCCTATAATGCACCACATAGTGTCGAAACACCCGTGCAGTGCATTATGGGAAATGTCCCATAATGCACCGCTGTGACGTTTCGGCATGGTGCCGTCACGAGGCTGACGAGTGACGTCACGACGGTCCTGCGCGTTGCATTATGGGACGTTTCCCATAATGCATCGCGCAATTACAGCGACGTCGACGCCAACGGCGCTCAAGCCAGAAACGGGCACCGAAGAGCTGCGCTCTAGAAACAGTCCACAAGAGACAGGACAAGGAAGAGACATAGATGAACACACATCATGTCTCAGTACCAACTGGCCCAACTCAGCGCATTGCAAGCAATAGGCTTTAACCCAAATGTCTGACGACAGCAGACAATGTCCCCCTCACCTCTGGTAGCCCCCTCCCCAGTCGTCCGCCCGTCCCCCGGCGTCCCCTTGCCGCGCCCCGCCGCCGCCGCCGCCAGTGGCCGCCGTCCCCTGCTGCCTCAGGTTGGGTCCGGAGCTGCTCTTGGGGAAGGAGCGCCCCGTGTGGCTCCTGGCAGACGACGTTTCGGCCGACCACGTCTTGCCCTGGGCCTCCGTGGCCACCTGTGGTCAGGCGGTTTGCACAATCAATCTATAGCCAGTGAAAGGTTAAGAGATCAGGGCAAAATCCTCCCGCCACTTCCCACTTTTAGACCTCCTCTCTAGCATAGGCTCTGCTGAAGTGGAAAGGAGTGGGAAGAGCTTCTCCTAAACTCTTAACCTGTCGCAGACCATCGGATTTCGACGAGCAACATTTTTTTCCCACTGACAGCCTCGGAACTCCTTCAGGTCTTGGGAGTAATGCACAAGTACTCAAGCTGAGTTTCTAGGAACCCAGGGGTTCTCCAAAGCACCCCCAGAAGTTCCCCCAACTCCCAATTTTCCCCAAACATCCCTACACCTATGCAGAGTGTTCTTTCAGGTTTAAGCCCCAGTTTAGCGAGTCTGAGCTACCCACTACGCGTAACTAAGAGCTAGACGCTCCCTAGTATCTTTACTATTGTTTAAAAGGTGTGTACGCTCCTACGCTACAGAAAGTCCCCCCCAAGAAATGCAGTGTTTTTTGTTTTTTTTCCACCGCAAAAATGAACTATGCATTGCCAAATGCTCATTCTCCACCAAAATGTAGTGTCAACTGTCCGAACCAGGTGCCAAAATTTCAGCACAAACCGTTATCTCATTCAAACGCTACGAGTGATTTTCTGAAAATTGTAATGGGAACAAGGGACACAAGAAGTTGAACTAGCAACAAGAGATAGCGTGCGGACAAGAGTGTTGGCTGCTGCTGCTATCCGTCTCGGCCCAATCACGCTTGAGAACTGTGCCCACTGTGTGCCGTGGCTGCATCCATGTCGCTAGTTTAGTACATGCTTGCAATCATCCCTTTTGCTTGCTCATACATTTAAACGATAATTTAACCAATGCTGGGACCTATAGTGATTCTATAGCACGACAGATTATGGCGAGACTCTACAGTTCGAGGGTTTATTTTGTTTTTCCCAGGTGTGGCGTGTTTTGTTTTGCGAGGCAAGAGCAAGAGGATACCTTGTCCCTGTAGAGGGCGGCCGCCTTGGAGTCCCAGCGCTGCTGCAAGGGGGCGTTGGGGTCCCAGTCTGGTTGGGCCTCGAGGAAACGGCGTGCTCGGTCATTGCCCCCGACCCGCATCTTCTCCAGCTCCAGGTCCTTCCACTTGTCCATGGTGATGGAGCGCACGAAGCTGCCATAGGAGCAAAGCACAAACCGTTCTGAGGACATCTCCTCGCTCACGCAGAAACACTGGCTTGTGGTGCTAGATGCAGCCTGATTCAAAAGGTTCAACCATGCGCACACATCCATCCGTTCAGCTAATAACCTATTCCAGGGCCCAAAGTGCGGGCCTTCGGAAGGCATCTGCCCACCCAACCGAGACGGCCTTAGTATTTCTATTTAAGACCTAACCTTAATGCTGAGATAAATTGGCTTCCAACTAAAATAGAGCTCAACTCACGCCCTCTAAGCCGCCCGGACCAGGATACCATCCCGGGACCTCTACATAAATCTTCATTAGCGAGGGGACTTCCCTTAAAAATATTTATATTTAACCCTAAGCATTTCCACATTAGGTACAGGTTAGCTTTTGATATTAAATACACTAACTAGGTGGTGCAAGCTGCCGCCTGACTTCACAGGTTCAGCTGTACGCACTCATCCATTCATTAATCTGGAAACATTAGATATGTGACACGAGATGTTGCACAACTCAAAGGGTAAACTATATGCATGCACGCATCCATTCATTCATCTAACAACTCATCCCAGTGTCTAGAGAATCTGGAAACAAACTGCAATGCTATGAACAATGCACAGTAGGCACTTTACAAAAGGAAATGCCATCAACAGTGTGGACAGGATGGCACATTGGCCCTTCGAAGGGAACACATAAATCTGCTTAGCATGTTACATTACAATTTACTATAAGGGTGCCTGTAGGTGGCACACTAAATATTTGAAAGCTTAAAAATGTGAACTAAACTAAGTCAAAAGAAAGAAATATTTTTTCTTCGTACGGACAAACATCTTGTTAAGCCTTTCTTGCTGTGAAATCAGCAGAGAGCATTATGGGTAATTATGACATTGTTAAAACAAGGAAATGGGTAAAAGTAAAAAAAAAAATAGGCACCCCCCCACTTTACACCCTCCATTTTCTCAAATATATACCACAGTGACACACAGTGTCATTTGATGATTTCACGCGAGCTAGGGCGATAGGAAAACAATGTTTCTCATTTGTCATTTTTCACACAGGCGAACTCATCCTCGCATATTTTTACAAAAAAAAAAGCACACCGTCCGATTATACCTTTGTTCTACATTGCATTGCAATCAGTTAAGAATCTTACTTTTGTGGTCCCTTCAAGGGGTCAAAGTGCCCTAGGGAATGCACTGTAGTGACTGCTGTGCCAACATCTGAGACCACCTTAGTGTAATCACATATCCTAACCACGCGTGGATTTTGTTCCAGTCATTTCGTCGGTGCGCACAATGACTAACAAAATCATCACTTCAAGGTGGAAGTTCCAAACAGTGCGACAACAAATGTTGCTCGATAGGGTTTTGAAGAGGACAGATTATTTAAAACAATCCCATTGTTTCCACCCCTAAAAGTTGATAAGCACACCACTTTTCTCGACACCTCCAACTGCGACTCTTCTTCCTATCCAGACACGACTCTACGACTGCCAAGTCACCTTGTGGTATGTCAATGGGAGCAAGATGATTCCCGCCCTATTTACGTGGAGTCGCAAAATAAACTTTCTGGTCCTGAAAACTTCTTATCTCAAGGATTCAGGAGAAGGACGAAGGCGGTGTTTTTCACAAATAGGACGTTTTATAACCCCTAACCCATTCCACGGGTAATAACCCCCAACAACTGCTTTACCAAACCCCTTTCCCACAAAGGCCTCCGTCCATCTGACCCAGGTATTCTAAAACTTCTCAATCTCGAAGAATGCCCATCTCTCTTTTATGGCAGCCGAGGAACTTTGGCAAAAAAGCATCGCAGAAGCCTGAAGACCTTGTAAAGTCAAATGCGCAAAATAAAGAAGGTTTTACCACACAGTTATACACCAATGGGTGGTTCGGGTCTCCTAAAATGACGAGTAAACCAGCAGAACCCGTTCCTTAGTTGCGGGAACGGACGAGCAAATTTGGGAGCGTGGACCATCCGCCCCCCCCCCTTCCCCCCTTTAGGTTCTTGGGGAAGCCCCCAAACGTTTATGAGGGAACCCCGAGGTTTCTTTGGAGAACCCTAAAGAGTAACCCCTCCAGAGACAAAAAAAAACAAAGAACAAGAAAAATAACGAAGGTGACATGTTTTTTTTCTTACCTGAGGTGCACGCCGAGGCCCCTGTGTTTGCCCGAGCACTCGAGGCAGATCCAGATGCCGTAGGTAACGCTCACCCATTGCGGATTGTGGGCACCGCACTCGAAACATTTCTGCAAAGGCGACAGAAAGTGTGCGTGCTTACCTCCCGCCATTCCAGCTAAAGGAATAGAGAGCAGGGTACTATAGATTGTGCGATTACTTAGTTAACCAATGCCCAAAATAAAAACCTTTTTTTTTTTTTTTTTTTTGCAAAGAAACAGCAAGATGTTATGTCAGGTCACTACCCCAACAATGTGTTTGCTGCAGAATTGCGTATTTGCTGATAAAATTCAATTTATGCAAACGGAAATTAGGGGGCAAGAGCAGAGGACCATGATGTCAGAAATGCCGGGAGTTGTTGGGAATCGCTTGGGTTGTTTCCCTCACCGTAGCTATGCACTCGAAGTTAATCCAAGTCGATATTTTTGGCAATTTGGTGGTCATAACCATTATGTTCCGCGGTTGTGCCGACCTTTGTTAAGGAAGATGCATCGCAAAGAGATTATTTCTTTTAAAATATTCCCAGCCCTGTGTCATGTCAAGCATGATTCGGAGAAAAAATGAGTGAGAAAAGCCCCGAGATTTGGGGCTTCCCTCACCCACAGACAAAATTGTCTTCTGCTGGGCAGAAAACCCGCTCCCAGTTTCCTTCTTCCAATTCCCTCTCACACTCTTCTCTCCCCCTCTCCCCATGGGAGCGGGTCTTCCAGTTGTTTCCCGCGGAAAGGAGCAGAGTCCTACTCCTTCTCAAATGGAAAGGGGGAATTGAAGAAGAGTTTTCTTCTTTCTGGTTGCTAGTAGGTCTTTAAGGATAAAATACTGCATTCAGAGCCAGAAATATTTTGTTTCCCGAGTGGTTGTTTGGCCCTTGTCGGTCTTTGCTCCCATCAAAATCTAGGCTCGCATAGGTGCCTTGTCAAGGGCCGTTCAGGAATTGCATGTTAAACGCAACCAACCACGGCAAAAAAAAAAAAAAAAAAAAAAAAGAGTGTGACAAACAAGTTATTGCTAACTCACGTTGTTGGTTTCCCTTGGCCTCAGGTCCTGAAGCACTCTTCTGGTACGCGGACTAGCCATGTTGTGAAGGGACTAGTTGGCTGCAGAGGCTACAAAAAGCAAAACGTCGAGCAGTCAGCGATCAGGCGCCAGCTTTAAGCGTGCCCACCGTATGCGAGCAGAACGCTACCCGCAGACAAAAGGCCGATAACCGGAGACACGCTAAGAACGAAGCTTACGTAAGTTACGCAAGTTACGTAAGGTAACGACGAGCGCGATTACCAGGTGTGCGTGGCCGCCACCGATTTTGCTTCGAACGACGCCGATTTCGCTTCGAACGAACGACTCGCTCCTTTTAGACCGAACAATTTTAAGGTTTATCGACGGAGCGGCGGTTCGGTCGACTACATCGGAGGCGTAGCGGGGTTTCGGGTACTATTTTTTTTAAATTTTTTTTCTTGGTATTTTCGTTGCAGTGCAGTGACACCCCGCAAGGAAGCGACGACGGCACCTGTTGCCGTACACGAAAACGTGTTTCCGCACACGGTAGCGCGTCAGTCGGTTTCCTGGCCCTGCTCCCTCTTCGTTCTAACACGTCAAGCTATTCCGCTGTTTTAGTTTCGTGACAGATGTGAGTTCAGTGAAACGGCAAGGGACACAGACAAAAAAAAAAAAAAAAAAAAAAGAGTAACGATTGAATGGCAGCGACTGTTGACGTAAGTCGCTCAACTTACGGCCGTCGGCAGCTCAGATTAGGCTAGACATTCGGTTCCGCTTGAGACACAGGCGAATCTTGACGCGGCGGTGTTAAGTCGTGAGCTGATTAGGCGGTCCTTTAAATAATAAAGGCAGAATCAATTACCCCAAATCGGCTTCCAACGGAGCTCACTGCCACCTCGGACAAGCGGAGAAGAGGTTCCAGCCGTCGACGGTTCGACTACCGTGGGTCAGTTTCGGAAAGTTTTGGGTGAAGAATTACATTAATAAACTAACTGAATCAAAATTTCGTAAATAAAAACATTCATTTTATTATTATATTATTTTTTAAGCACTTCGGGTAATCATCTAAAAAAGCAGACTTTCGATTTCGTAAAAAGTAAATAAATGGATAAGCGTTCAGAGCTAGACCAATTAAATTAGACGGTACCTTGCGCTACCTATACTCTGTTCACGGCTATGCAGAAGCGGTGGACGTGCTCGCCGTTATGTCCACCGTGGTTATGTCCTTTTGTTTACGGCGATGCTATCCTTCGTAGAATTCGCTGCCGGCGGCACTTGCTCACAGGAAGGCTACAAAGAATAACAACGAGAAACAAATGCCACCGTTGCGCGGTAGAAAGTTCACGCCGGCAGACACCGTTTTATATATCAAAATGCAGGCGATCACACGTAGAAAAAAAAAAAAAAAAAATAATGGACAAGACGAGACAAAATCTCTCTCATAATTTGTGTCCTCTAGTACGTTATTTGATTTCTCCGTTTTCAGGGTTTATATTATGACCGTTTTATATCTGTATGTCTTTAACAAATACAGAGAGTTCCCGAGAAAAGAGAACCGTGTTTTTCGGCCGGATAAATTAACTATTCATCGCAGACAGCTCAAACTCCGTGTGAGTATAAAGCAAGCGGTTGGGATAGAAAAAAAAAAAAAAAAAAAAAATGAAAAGATCACGTTGCCTGGATTAAAAGATAACTGAGAAAAACAAAATTTCTCTGTGAGCCGACGTCCACCTAAGGCTAATATCGTCAAAACAAGAAATGAGATTTTGAACACTCGTGAAGTTCTTATCAGTTAAAATAGAGTTGGGAAGTACTTTACCCTGTTTGCCAAACAGCGGCCAGGCTCTTTAAATCGACTGTAAAAACCGGTTTCTTAACCTATCGCGTTCCAATTTTGTACAACGATAGCCAAAGAGCGAACTTGTTTGTAGTAATGCGGCACTGCAGGCCTCAGAAATGGGCCAATGGCCTTTCTGCGGTGTCGCAGCCCTTTAGGCCGAATAACAATTATTATTATTCTTACCTGAGGAAAAAGCAAAACAAGAAAAAAAGGCTTAACTCCTATGAAAACGTACCGAAGCCACCGGTCTTCAAACCATAGGGCAGAAAAAGGCTTAACTCCTATGGAAACGCAGCGAAGCCACCGGTCTTCAAACCATAGGGCAAAAAGAGGCTTAACTCCTATGGAAACGCAGCGAAGCCACCGGTCTTCAAACCATAGGGCGCCCTATGGTCTGAAGACCGGTGGCTTCGCCGCTTTCTTATAGGAATTAAGCCTTTTTCTTTTTTTTACTTTTTCCTCGGGTAAGTCCGCTCTTTGCAAATTTTATAGAAAAAATGCACCACCTGTGGCTAACGCTGTACAAAATTGGAACGCGATAGTTTAAGAAACCAATTTTTGCAGTCGATTTAAAGAGCCTGGCCACTATTTGGGACACGCGGTACTTCAAGCAGGCACGTACCTAGGATTTTGTTTCGAGGGGGGGAGGTGGGAGGGCGGGAAGGGGGGGGGGGGGGGGGGGGGGCGCGCCCATGACAAAATGCTGTATGAGGGGGAGGGGTAGAGGAGGTCGCAGCAAAATGGAAGATTTGGGGGGGGGGGGGGGGCGAACCCTGGTAACCTCCTCGCCCCTTTGGCTACCTACCTGACTTCAAATAGACGGAAACTTGTACTTTAGTTGAAGCGCATTCTACGTACTTGTACCTAAAGTATTCTTTCTGCTACTTTCCGAGGAAAGTACAGCTCCTGACTTCAAAGTACGTGGTATAAAACATAAACGTACAAAAAAGTTCATATAAATCTTCTTGAATCGACGAAGTGCACTCGCTGATTCCTAATTGTAAAGAGATACCACCAGCATGCCGCAGTCTGTCTCGCTCTGAGGTTGTGGTTTCCCCTTAGCACGCGGGTGCACTGCGGCAAAGCAAGACACGCCAAATCGCGATGCCTACTTCGCGGTTGTCGCTCCTCTGCGCTCTGCGCATACCAGTGTGCGGTGATAAGCGCACTCAACGAAACTAACTACCCCCCAGAACAGACCAGAAACACGGGAATTATCGCAAAACTTCCTAGCACCGTCGGTGTTTGATACGAAATCAAATATAATAGTGCGTTATTTGATGCGATTATCGAATTTCAGAAAATTCGCACGAGCTTATCGTAACGATCTGGCCGTGTAACGGGCCCCGAGTATATATAATATTTTCAGTAATATTAAAGTGAAAGTAGGTTCTGGCGCAATGTGGAAGCAAATTCCCCACATTTTGGTAAAAATGTAGCTGGATGTAGCAGAATAAGCACTTTGTGTGCAGTTTGACGCAAATGGCGCATCAATCACATCACTGCTGCTCTGTAGCCGTTGATACAGCCCTTGGTCCAGGCACGTAGCCAGGATTTTGTTGGGGGGGGGGGGGGGGGGGGGCCGCCCATGACCAAATGCTTTATGAGGGGGCGGGGGGGGGGGGGGGGGAGGAGGCCCTAGCAAAATGAAAGATTTCGGGAGGGCAGGCACGTAGCCCCCTGGCTACGTGCCTGCCTTGGTCTCACTAATAAAGCACAAACCACAGTCAAAGGGGATTTTGTAGGCAATCCCCGAAACACATGCACGCGACACTTTTCTCAACAAGCCCCGGAAGCGCCAATCTCATTTCGATGTGCTTGTGCACCCTATACAAGCCTCGTTTTGGCTCTTGTGGAAAGCTTTATTGTAATAGCAATAGTCTCATCGGTCATTCGAGTTGTATGCGCCACGGTGATATCTGCTGTGTGTGATCTGCTGACAAACAAGTCTGTATTAAATGCGAGGAGAACGAAGGTAAAGCTTTTTTAACTGTTTTCTTTTTTACAAAGATGGGCAAAGCTTCTAAAACAAGAGCAACCTAAGCTGATATTTGAGTGTGCTCAAGAATGAATGGCAAAAGGTGCTTATGCTAAGTGGTAGACGTACGCAGTTGATTTTCTGTTTGCCTCTGTATTGTAAATTGGAAGATATGTATCAGCAGAAGACACGTGTCCTTTCGAAAATGTCTTTCATTAGGACAAAAATAGGTTTTCATACACAACCGAAGAGTTCGCAACACCATTTAATGCGAGGCCTCAACGGTTACATCATCTAAGCAACGTCAACGAAAATGTTTGTAACCGCAGACCGATAAATTTAGGTTTAGATGAGTATGCGTCATAGTTTCAGCCTCAAACACGCAGCATTGTTGATATGCACCTTTCTTGATGACAACTGCACCAACGTGAGAGCTAGAGCCCACGTCGTCGAACACATGCACACATATCTTGACTATGGCAAGATTGCTGGCTTGAAGTGAAGATCATCTCGCTACGACTAGCTACGACCACACACCGCAGCGATGCAGGCGTCGAAGGGGCGCAACGCAGTCAGTCGCCGTCACCCGACGCTGCTCGTTTAGCATTCACGGCTTTCCGCCCAGGTGCTTCGTTTGTACTTGGCACAGAGTGTTATTTTCTGTGCTTGTGTGTGCTCAGTGGCTAAATATGGGCCTCAAGAGCAGTTCTTCAGGCTTAATAGCGTTCGACGAAGAACTTCTGAAGGAAATGCAACCCAGGAAAAAAAGCACGAAGACGTAACGCACCAGCTTGCAGCTTGGCGGACTATGCACTGGGCGCGGAAATCCGGCCCTGCGGATTATACACCAAATGCAAACTATCTAAACAAAACAAACAAAAAAAAATTTAGGCTCAAATTGGCTTTTGCGGACTATACGCCTGGCCACTGGTGCCTGTTATTATGCATTGCATATTCACCGCTGATTGTTGTGGCTCGAGACTGCCTTCCTGTAATGATGCAGAGGGGTCCGCTGAACCTTGAAATAAAGATATTTAAGCACATCTAGATGCAATGTCCCTTGAAGCCAGATGGTGAGGGAAAAGGTGTGCCGATACCTAATTTGCCATTTGCCAACAGCACACCAATGGTCACGATCAAAACTGACAGAGTCAATGGGCAGTTTTCCACCACAATATTTATTGCCGTGTAATCACAAATTTGGACCATTAAAAATCTTGAGGCTGTAGCCTATAGCACATCCGAGTCTGGATCTGCAAAGCGTATGCTGTAGACATGCATCATCATATGAGCATGTTTCTTATCAATCTTAAACGTAAAACGCTACTTATGCAACGAAATTCCCATATCATCACACTTTCAGCAAATTGAATGGTCCCACCTGTCACACTGTTAGATTTGGAAGTAAACCAATTCACAATACCACCAGTGACATACATCGTGCCAAGCATTAGTGCCGCATGTGGCACAAAAATGTCCTAACTAGGGAAGCAAACTTAATCAATCGTGTTGATTAAAGCACTTAAGTACGGGAGAAATTATCAATCAAAGAAGGTCACTCGAAAGGGAAGTTTTCTCGCTGAACGAATATGTCTTTTTATTGGGCGTTCCGCAATGTAAGGCCGAAGACATTCACTCCGTGATCGGTACAGAAGCATTTGCTTAGCAGTCGGTCGTCCGTGCTAAAAACAACAACAAAAACAAAGGTGGATTAGAAACGCGATAGATTCGCCTTTGCACGGAGTACTTACACTCAAAATCGTGTCAACATAAAGCGACTATGGCCCACCTTGCTAGCAGCAATCTTAAAATTTATCCGTGTAGTCGCACCCGTGCACCAACCGAACGCGTTGCTGCAAGCCCCTCAGCCGTCAACTTTGAGTCACTGTTGAGTCTGAAGAACTGCTCTATGAGGTCCATATCCAGCCACTGAGCACATACACAAGCACAGGAAATAATACTCGGTTCCAATTACAAGCGTTTGGCATTCAGGGCGGAAAGCCCTGAATGCCGAACGACCTGCGTCGGGCGACGGCGACTGACTGCGTAGTACACAGGTTGCGCTCCTTCGACGCCTGCATCGCTGCGGCG